AATATAACATCGCACTTTATACTCAATACGAACATGTACAGTACTTGACCAAAATATCAATCTCATTTAGACTACAGGTAAATCAGGTGAGAGAGAATGCATAACTCTGTCACCGTCCACTTGACACTACTCTCTAGGCTACTGCGTCATCTGCCTCAAAATCACGTAAAGTAGCAGCACTCATAGTAAAACTTCCCCATGCTATACCTTGTGATAGATACAGTACAGTACCCGAGTCCTCTTACATATATATCTGACCAACAGTATACCCAGAGACAACGCCATTTTGTATTTGAGAAGTGAAAACAAGCAAAATTGTAGAGGAATAAAATTATTCACTAAGAGTAACACTAAAGAGAATAAAAATAAAGTGAAATAAACAAGTGAAACAATGGAAACTGGTTTGGTGACGTCATGTTGGGAAAGACACCAGTGAAGTCTTACAGTTGTCCTAACACCCTGGGCCACCATACACAGGGTAATAATGGACAAGTTTCTAAGCCATTGAAACTTTTATCGAATTCTTTTCACCTTATTATGATACATTTATTAGCGTGGTATCTGTTTATATTTATTTACTACGTACCCAAATAACAAACAACAACATTATATTTATCAGATTACCAACAAACACAATGATGATTATATGTCACGTTGGATTACCTGAAGATTAGCCCCCAGCTTATTTCACCTTAAGATTAACACCCCTAATACTAAATTAACCTAACATATCGTAATATAACGCTACGCTCACCTAACCTAATCCCCAAGGTAGCGTTAGGTGGTTAATCTTAAAGATGAAATAAGCTGAGGGGCGAGAATCTTCAGGTGGTCTGCCAAGTTTTAGACCAATCAGATTATCTTGTCACACATTTATTCGACACAGTTTCAACATCATTTTAGTCACCAGTTTGATACACTTTCATGTCGTGCGGAATGTTTGATGAGCGAAACTTTAAGATTACTGGCTAAGAGTCTGTCAATGACCTTACAATTCATATATAAAGTGGCAGTCTAGTGTGATGCGTGCAGATGAATATATTATGTCCAGGTACTGAAGAAGGGATATGGAGGTCTATGTGTAGTTTAAGGATGGCTGATTCGTGGTGGGGATGGGGGAGGGTGAGGGGGGTCAAGAGGAATACCTGGAGTGGATCTAACAGGGGAGGAAGAGGGGGGGGGGGGCAACGTACAGGTACGCCTTGGGATAAATTTTGTGAGATAGAAGAATCATGGATGCAAACAGGTATACATTGTTCTTTACTTATCTTTAATCTCTCCACTTAAAAACAACAACAATTACTACACGCTAACTCAATGCGTGTGAATGAAATTTGGCAATACAAGAAATAGAGTACATCTCTAGTTACTGTACCCAGACCTCAAATTTGACCGGGGCAATCTCTCAGTGTTTATAGTTGCAGCTACCCCAGATATCAAAAGGTTTATGGGATTTTACACCTTATTCCTCAACGCCGTATTTTTAAGCTGTGACCTCTAGGTATGGACAGTCGACGGAGTTGTGTCCTCTGAGATGTATCTCGGGGACCAGACGGGGTGACATTACTCCAAAATGGGGAAACACCTCACTAACCTACCGTAACTTAACCTAGCAACCTAACCTAACTTAACCTAGCTTAACCAAGCCTAACCTAATCTAATCTAATCAAACATAACCTAATAGGATATTCGAGTTGATGGGTTTTCATTCACCTAATTACCTTGCCGGTGAGAATTTGTACATGTTACTACACCCAGCTACTGGTATATTCAAGGCCGGCAAACTCTATTCGATGAATCTTAATACTCGCTCCAGCACCCCTACTTGGCACACACACACACACACACACCTCATGACAGTAATGCACGAGTGATGAGGAAGCCACAACACCTGTAATCAAGCAGCCCCCGTGTCCCACATACACCGGGGCCCGTTAGTTGTGTATTATAGGTAGCGTTAGGGTGTTTAATAATATAATTGGGTGAGATAAGCTGGGGTGGATAATGTTCAAGTGATCCATTAGAAAAATAATAAAAGAAAAACCTGATTTCGTTAATTACTGTATAATATATTTGGCTATACGCTATGCAACAAGTGTTACTCATCACACAGTTAGGTTAGGTTAGGTTAGAGACTAGAAAGCGAGCAACAGTAAACCAAGTTGTGTGGGAAGTCGGTAACTAAACCTTTTATAATGTGCACCGACCAGAGACATTTGCACGCTTGGCTCCCCATTGTCAAGGCATAGTTAACTCAGCGGAGGGGGGGAGAGAGGGGAGGGGAGAGGAGAGCAGAGGGGAGGGGAGAGGAGAACGGAGGGGAGGGGAGAAGGGAGGGGAGTGATACTGCCTTAGCAACACTTGTCTTACTGCAGGTTTGGATCACCTATTGATTAAAATAACCTAACGCTAATCTAACCTAACCCAACTTACCCTAATCTATCTTAACTTAATCTAACCTAACTTAACGTAACCTAATCAAACCAAACTTAACCTGAAATAAGCTAGGAGTTAATTTGCAGTTATTCCGAAAGTTCGTGTATGATGGTGTTATCCAGCTTAAGTACTTTATGTTTACTGGTACTAGTCAGCTTTACTTCAGCTTACTGTGACCTCGAATGACTGAATTACATGTCCTTGAGCCACCCCTTTAAATCACTCTTCAATTTGTACGTTTTCTAAATGCAAAAAAAAATCTTTCGACAAGCTTTCTTTAAACAATCATATGTGTTGTGTTGTCTGTGAATGAGGAAATTCTGAGAAAAACTGAACTAAGAATTGTGGTAAGTAAGAGAAGGTGGGATGTAGGTCAGGTAAATATAGTTAAGGATCCTAACAGAGAGAACCAGTCGTGATGTTTGACTAAGGAGACAACACACTGAAGCCGTTCTTACCGTCTCAAAGTCTTTTATATACAGTAAAAATCGCCTTACAAGTTTACATTGATTCAGTAAGTATGTGGACAATGCAGGTGTATAGTTCAGCATGTACACTGCATAGACAACACCTGTGTACAATTCAACATGTGTACAGACAAAGCAGGTATAATTTTCAGAGTGTATGGAGACAATGTAGGTACACAATATAGCTAGACAGAGCAGGTAAACAAGGTACAGTACTCTATAATTATTTCCTTTCCATATCGGCCTCCATGGCAAAAACTTAACCTCCGTTCGCACACAAAACACAGATCGTACGCTGTTATATTTCTTCGACAGGGAATATAAACAGAGGAACAAATCCCTTTTAGGACAAACAGCGAGTTTTTTGTGACGTTCTAAAAATAAGTTGGTCTTATCTTACAGGTATTTTGCTTTGTATTTTCTGTATAGGATCTTGACCTATGACACATATTAACAACAGAAAATGTTTCAAGTTTGGACATCTGATAATATAAAGGCGGCAACGATGCAACAAACTTACATAAGACATCACCTACCAGGAAAAGCTTTAAGGCAGTCCACTCGCCATTAATTGAGATATACCTGTTTATGTACTGAACATAATTATTAACTTATACCACTTGGTATACATAATTTATCGGACTCATGAAGATTAGACACCCCCGCTTTATCATCTGATGATACCACACCCTAAAGGTAAATGGGGGTTAGATTAGGTTTGGTTTGGTTTTATGAGCATAAACTGGAAATAAACTGGGGTTCCTATTCTTCATGAGATCCAATATAATATACATTATTGTACAATATTAGATATTATCTAATAATGTACAATAAGGACTGTTGGATCTTTCGGTTAATTCAGTTAGAAAATACACAAATAATGACCACTAACCTCAACTACCACGCTCCTGGTAATGCCCATCACCCACACCACTGTGCCAAGTCTACAGTTTGTGATGACTCATCACAAACTGTATCCAGTTCATGCACAGTTACCGCCTGAAATGAGAAACATGAATTGAGAGATTGGGAGAAAGACGTTTGTTAAAAGGACAAAATGGAGTTAAACGAAAGTCCGATAAACCAGTAAGCCATCAAAGTGATATAAATGTATGAAAAATAGATGAACCCCGAGGGAAAATGTAGTTTAGCGTGTGTACCGTAGAAATGCTTTTATATGCGTCTAAGGTCATTTGTTTAGCCTTTACTATATTATCTACTGTATATATCCAGAAGAGCAACAATTACAAAAGATTGATGATGAATTTTATGGAGAAAGTGTTGTCACTCATACCAGAGGAAGCAAAGACAAGAGTCATCCTGTCTGGTGAGGTAGTGTACAGTGTACCCACACCAGCCGAGCTCTGTCATCACACGAGTCGTCATGTGCCTCTCACTACTGTGCCCTGCCAAACATCACAGGTTTTCTCCGGGTGCTCAGGTTTCTTCCAGTACTATCAGCTCATAACAAATTAACTAAGTGAGGGAATGATAAAAAAAGTAACTTGATTATTTTTTTATCTTCCCTCAACCTCTCTATACCCTGTACCCGTAAAATAAAGATCTACAATCCCTTCGTCTGCGGCTACGTTCTCATCATCGAAGAATCTTTTGCTCCCTTCGCATTATGGGTGATGGCAGATATATTGCGTCTGTCTGTAAGTTGGCTGATTCGCCCGACCGAAGCAAATTTACGAATACTTAGTTATTCCTTCAGTTTTGTCTTCACTACAGCATTCAACATTCATTACCTTCTTCACATTATCAAGAATGACTCAAACACTGGATCTTCAACATAAAATGTATATTCAAGACTTCCCTTGGGCCATAAAAAATGTTAATATGTAAGAGTCTAGACTCTAGAACTCTAAACATCTATTGTTTTATTCCTTCAGTAATACTAGACGTCCAAAATTCGGAATCAAATATAAATCATAAGTAAACAAACTTGGGAGGAGGAACTATAGACTTCGTGGCTTTCTTGTACTGTACCGCCAAGCGAGCAACACAGCGCCTCACAGTGACGCCCGTCTGGTGTGATGGTGTTTGCTACTGCGGTCGTTAGCCTGGATTTCTCTGCCCCGCGTGGCGGTAGAAGAGCTCGACGCCCAGTCCAGCAGCCACCTCGGCAGTGGAAGAACGTGTAGTGTCTGTCGGGAGCTGTGCTGCTAACAGTACCTCACATTATCTGGTGGCCGTGACCCACTTGTGGCAGTGTAATGCATGATACTAACGTGTGTATTACCTACTGTTGCATCTAACATATGTATCATTTCGTTTTGGAACCTTCCAACAAGAATAACAATATCTGTATTTGAAACTTCGTCATGCAGTGAGTAAAACGTCTAATTTATTTAAGATTTTTCACCAACTTATTTATCAATCTTTTGCCGAATAAGTAACAAAAGTCAACATACAGATGAGAAGAGACAGGCACGGTGGTGCACCTAACTTGTGTCCGTAGGTTAACCTAATTTTATTTTTTACTGTGACAGAAGATAAATAATACAGCTGTTGTTGTACCCTGTAGACTCTTGTACAAGTAAACATTACTAAACCATAAACTGTGTACGTGCATATTTTAACATGGAACTTTTTTATTTTCATCTGTGTTTTATACTGAATCGAGTTTGTGTGTCCACATAAGAAAAGGTGTTTGTTTGTGTGTACAGAAGAAAATGTGTACAGTTATAAATAGAGTTGTGCGTGGATGTATACACGTTCACCATGTGTTGTATAAGACGTACGGTACATGAGGCTAGCTAAATATTATATCCAGTGCCTCTTCCTAGATTTATGTGGGAAATGCCATGATGTTTTGCAGCCATTAAATATAAGTCACCACCATCTAAAGATATTACCCGTCTTATCACACTCCACAGAATACTGCTGACCACTGCTCCCTGCCAGTACAGTTTCCCCTCCAGGTTATTTCATTTTAAAATTAACCACCCTAAGGCTAACTTAACGTAATTCCCCAAGCAGCGTTTAGCGTGTTTAATTAAAGGTGAAATAAGGTGGGGCTATTCTTCGGGTTTGAGGGTGGTCTTAGAAAAATATATGAAGATATAAAGAAGCAAAAGACACCGTGAAGTTTAATGTCGGATTACAATGGCTGATTTTAACGCAAAATTTGGGAAATGGAGAAGTAGGACCACATGGGTTGGGTAATAGAAATGAGGGGAGAGAGATTAATTGACTTTTGTAAGGAAAACAAGATAATTGTAAATACAGTACATGGTTTGGACCACACACACACACACACACACACACACACACACACACACATCCTCTCTGCGAGTTATGGGGGAAACGATAACTAATACACTAGGAAGATGTTGAAAGTGTCGCTTTAAAACGTCCATCACTGCAGGCTGTACAGTGGCAGAATGCGTGATCAGCCGAGACCAGCCGTAAGGTGCATCCTCTTAATGACGCTTCTCGTGACGTCACGGGCAGTAGCCAATCATGATGAGGCTTCACCTGGTGATATCATCACCCCGAAGGATCAACTACCAGGTAGTTAGTTCTACATTATCTTGAATCTCATGTAAATAACATTATTAATACACCATCTTTAATACTACGCTTTCATTCACGCCTCAGTTTAAAGATCCATTAGTTCATGCTGAACCCTATAACTATTCAACATAATCATTATGTTTGGTTTATCTTGAGATATTTATTTGTATTTAAAAAATATTTATAAATCAATCAACGACATTGACAACATCTATTAGTAAACACAATCACTGACTATCATTTGTTTCAATAATTATCATACTTCAGCGTGACCCTGTGAACCGCCCCGAGGCACTCACAAATAATGTAACTTGGGATTATTGCAGGGCCCAACTGGGAGGACAACGAGGAATCCTTCAGGATCCTGCAACCACGTGTGGCGTCCCCAGCACCCCTCCAACACCACCTCCACTATCACCAGCACGACCAGGTGCAGAATCACGATAAGCCTCAAATAGTTGAGCGTGAGGCGCGGACTCGACGCTCAGTAGCAGGTCGGAGTTCAGGAAGTGACATGGTCAGTCACTTTGGAGGGATCGGAAACCCCGGCCTACTAGGTTTTCCTATTAGTCTTGGTAACTCCAGTAGCTACTTGGTTCCTTCAGAGGACCACGGCACCACCCATCCACCCATCTACGGAGGAGTTGGTGATGATATACGAGAACATTTTCCATTAGTGTTTGGAGGTTCTCTTAACAGCAGCAATAATCAACAATTCGTTTCAGTCGGGAATCAAAGGCCATCGAATATTTTTTCAGCTTCCTACAGCTCGCCCACCTCAGCAGCCTCAACATGGGGTAATCCTCCACACGACACCTCCAACACGCCCACGCCCTTAACACCTGCCAACTTCCAACACTTATTTAATGCGCAACTTGCACACGATAATGATCTTCCAGTGGAGGAAAATATTTCGTCTTCAAGCTCTGTTCCGGTGTCGTCTGGTGCTGCTGCTCCTGATGGCTTGGACTCACAGTACCATTCACAACAAACACCTCCCAAAATCAATACATTGCAACTGCTCAATAAATTCTATGAAAATTTTGCATCTAGTAATCCGTCATACACTTCTCAACAACAGCAGCATCCACAAAATGACCCGTTGATACCAGATATAAGTACGTTAGACGACGCCTCACACCAGGTTAGTCAGCGACCCTACATACCGGCCTATGGCAATCTCCAGGTAAACCAAAACACTGACCTACAGAATGACGACGTGAAGGTGGTAAATGCAGAGGTGTTTACCGCAGTGCAAAGCGCGGACGTGGTGGACGCAGAGGTGCAAAGCGCGGACGTGGTGGACGCAGAGGTGGCTTCCGCAGCAGCTGCCTCAGCTACCACAAGTGCCTCAGGTTGTTTGTCCAGCAGTGCGTGTGCCTTGTTCGTTGCTATCGCCTTGGCCTTTGGTGCCACGTCAGCCTTTACCATTCCTTTCTTCGCTCCGGGTATTCTGGGACGTAGAAGGAGAAGTATTGATTATGTTGTTTTATCTCAGGATAATGCGACTTCCTTCCTTAATAATTACCTGAATTTCTTAAAGAATGATTCAATTAATATTTCTAAATCGGAAAATCTCTTCTTCAAAGCACTCACTGACCCAACCGATGATTCTACAAGACAGATACTTAAGAAACTTGAACACTTTATACTGAAGAACAAAGATAAGCTACTTAACATTACCGCACAAGAATTACAGTTAAAAGAATCAAATCCAGTTCTCGATGTAATATCAGAGAATGTTGATAAAACAAATACCAAACCAACTTCTGTATCTATGAAGCCGTCAGATGGAGAGATGCCAGACACTGTTGTGAGTAAGCATGACAATATACATACTCAGTACACATGGTCTGTCCAGGATCACCCGTCACCACTACGCTCTGATGGTCGTGCATTTGGGTCACATTTAAAATCACCAGGTGCAAATTATGACATTCTTGGTGCGAAATACTCAGAAGGTAATAGCCATAACCCTTACTCACAACTACATCAACCAGGGGTCACAACAACTACCTCAACGTTGCCCTACAACACCCAACGTGTCTCCCACCTCAACACTTCATTCTTGAGCAGACGGTGGTCAACAGAGAGCTACAACACTCAGCCACATCCCACCAACTTGCTTCAATATGTAAGAAGTGTGAACACTCCTTATCGTGTGAGCAATAGAGCTTTACCAGATTCATCTCACTATTACCCAACACCAGACTATGACTCCCCGTATACCCACCATCCTTCCCATGCATCTGGAGGTGTTGACATCTTGCAGAGGACAGAGAGGCAGGGAGGAGGGCGGGAGAGGGTGGCCCTCTACCGTACCGTGTGCTCTGGCCTCCACCACCCTCACATTCCCGACAACGACATCACCAGGTTCATCGCCAACAAGTGCAACATTCTTCAGTATGCTGGCATTATCTAGAGGTTCTCATTTTCCTCTCAGTATTAAACCATAGGTATCTGCTAAAGACTCATCTTAATGTGCTGTGTGTTTAATGGGTCAATGTTTCAGTGTAAAGGTAAATTTATTACTGATAAGCCAAACATAGTTTTAACAGTGTATTGACTTTGTGAAAAAAATATCATTGTCACTCCATACACTAAATTTAATCACAAGCATAATAATTGCTGTTATAGATCATCTGGAGACGACAACATGTGCTAATTGAAATTCAGGCCAAAGAGCATGATATACTACTGTTCTGTGTGTGTGTATGTGTTACGCTAAAAATGGAAAATCGTCCGGTTACGCCTTAAAACTCAACTGACGTTTTGGCTCATTTCAAATGTGGGTAAATTTGTTCATTTCTACATAATACGTCGTTTACGATCATAACCATGCCTGTATACCTAAATCAGTCTAAGCAAGGTTACCTAAGATGGTGATGATACTATTCACATTCTTGTATTATGAATTATTATTTCGCAACTATCCATATTTAGCGTGACAATATGTCTATCTACACACACATGAAACGCAAAAATGCACATATTCCCTAGTGAGGGTGAATTACATTCCCGTCACTTAATGAAACTTGCATATTACAGTACTGTTATTTACAGTACAGATGGGTTACTTGAAATGAAGATATATTTTCTTAACAGTTTTGTAAATATATCGTTCATAAATGTTTACTTAACATTCCATTCACCATATTTAATACACCATACAAATGTAGGTAGTATGCCGCCATCAAACAGGGAGGTACTACCGCCTGGGAAGACATTGTTAGCATAATGTATTGTCTAATGGTAGATCTGGCTGCCATATGGCATCATAAAAATTGTGACCAAGTCCCAGGTTACAGATCTGATTTTCTGCCTCATTTACACACAATTGCAGGGTCTCAATTGTTTCTCTTACTTTGACAACACAATGAACATTATATCGTTTCTCACTGTTGATTTTTTTATGGCTCTTTAAAATTATTATTATTATTATCAGTTATTATTATTGTCATTATTTTATTTATAATTATGTATTTTGTATTATAAATTTTATTTAATATGAACTATTATTATTATTATTATTATTATTATTATTATTATTATTATTATTATTATTATTATTACATTTTCGCCCCCCCAGGCCCCAATGTTGGTCAGTGACCTGTGTCCGGGTGGGCTAATCCCTGTAAAAAAAATAATAAATAAAAAATTAAATAAATATTATACTTATGTCTATACCGATGAAATTATCGTAGATATACTGTGCACAATAGAAACCTAGAGATTTTTTCTCCTTTTTCCAAGAAAAAACATTGTTTCTAGAACATTGACGCCAAACTGTCAGTCATCTTCGTCTATAGCAGCTTAATTAAGCGAGATAGTTTGGTGGAGTATTTAGGTCACATACATACATACGTACACAAACATACACATACCAACACGCATGCACATAGCTACACATACACACACACATACATATACATGGTGTATACATAAAAAAACATACACACTTGGACAGTGATTGTGGCAACCAATTCTTAAGTAGTCAATCGTCTGATTTGGAAACGGAGCACCCTAACAGGTGCAGCACTTAAAACTAAATACATTGATCAAGAAATTACGAATAACTACAGATATGAAATAGTCTATCTACATTACGACATCTCACTTCAATACTTATTACGTATAGATATAAAGTACTTTTGATTAGTATGTTAAGTTGAGGGGAATGGAAATACAGTGCAACCAAATTTACATGTACAATGAAAGACACGACCCCCTGACGGAGACACGATGATCCTCCCCATACTGGCCAGATATTTTGTAAATAACACTGATTATGTGTTAAAGGAATATCCTTCCTTCCTTAGGCTTTAGTAAGCCCCTTTATAATATTTATACTGTATATACTTATCACACTTGCCAGATGCTTCTGGTGTCATTGTACAGGGGTACCTAGTGACAGCACTAGGATCCCGCTTCCTCTATCAAGGAAGAAACTCACAGATACTCACATTTGATCTTCTGGAAGAGGCTCACGCCTGTGACTCCAGCTCAATAGCCTCTTCTCTACTCAGACGGTGGCTGCGTGTGGCGGATATTTGTGCCCTATAATTATATACTTGTTGATTTTTCCAGTATTTATCTAATTTTGCTTCAAACTTTTCCACCGTCTCCACATTCACTACCCACTCAGGTAACCCATTCCAGTTGTTGACAACCCTACTCGTGAACGAGTGTCTTCTGAGATTTAGCCTCGCTCTTGTTTTGTAGATCTTCTTTGTGTTCCCCCGGGTAGTGTCAGCCTCCCTCATCTGGAACATTCCTGCTGTACATGCCGGGTCATATATGCCACACACTATCTTGTATGTTTCCACTTGGTCCCCACGAGATCTTCTGGACGCCAGTGTCGGTAACTGTAATTTCCTTAGTCTTTCCTCATAAGATAAATCCTTGATCTGTGGTACTAATTTGGTAGCCCTCCTCTGTACATTCTCTACTGCTTCAATATCCTTAATGAGATATGGGCACCAAATTTGATTAGCATACTCAAGGTGTGGCCTAACCAGAGCAGTGTACAGAGCCTTGAATATAGGTGCATCCAGATGAACAAAAGTTCTTCTAATAATGCCCACTATTTTATTAGCCTTGTTGATTTTCTCAGCTAGATGGTCAGAAAACGTCAGCTTATCATCGATGACTACCCCTATATCCTTCTCTACAGAGGTCTTCTTGATCGTTGTGTACATATGATATCCATGGTCAACAATTTTTGTTCTTCCTATCCTCATGTATTTACTTTTTTCTGGGTGAAAGTTCAGCATCCACTTCTCAGTCCAACCCCTGATCCCATCCAGGTCCTCCTGCAGCATGTCACAATCCTCATCTCGTTCTATTTTCCTAAAATTCTGTGTCATCCGCATATAGATATACCTCACTGTCGTGTTTAGTTGCCTCAGGCAGGTCATTGATAAAAAGGACAAACAGCAGGGGGCCGAGGACAGAACCCTGAGGGACCCCACTAGTGACCTCTCTCTAGTCAGATACTTCTCCATTTACCACAACCCTCTGTTTTTTCTTAGTTAAAAAATTCCTTACCCAATCAAGATATTTTCCATCAATGCGATAACTAGATACTTTTTCTAATAGTCTTTTGTGGGGTACTCTATCAAAAGCCTTCATGAAGTCATAATACACTATGTCCACAGCCTGTCATCGATAATTTCCGTCCAGCTGTCTAGTACCCTAATCAACTGTAGGACTGTTGACCTGCCGGAAATGAAGCCAAACTGTTTATTACTAAACAATCCATATTTTTTCATATGGGATATCATCTCTTCCCGTAATATTGACTCCATTAATTTGCAGATTACACTAGTTAGACTGACTGGCCTGTAGTTTCCTGGTTCACTTTTACTTCCCTTCTTATAGATAGCTGTGATATATGCAATACGCCAGTCCTCGGGTATATTTCCTTCTTGAAAAGAGCTTTCAAACAAGATCCTCAGAGGCTGAAGTAGTTCCTCCATCATCTCCTTAATGACTCTTGGATGTAACCCATCTGGACCGGGAGACTTATGTCTTTTCAATTTTGGAATCACCTTTCTTATTTTGCCCTCGGTTATCTCCAGGTGTTCAAGAGCTGGCACGTCTTTCTTGTTGACTGTTGGTATCCCCCTATCCGGTTCCTTGATAAAAACTCGTGAGAATTACTCTTGAGAGTACATCTGCCTTTTCTTGATCATTCACAGTCTTCTGTACTTTTTCCTCATCCTTGTAAAGATCTGCAATTCTAGCTTTTGTTCTTGTTTTTGTCTGTACATACTTTCAGAACACTTTTGGATTTGCCTTAACATTTTTCGCAATCTCTTGTTCTTTGCGTTTCAAGATGTTTCTAGTTTCCCATCTGACCTGGTTATTTAAACTCCTGTATTCCTTTTCAGTTTCCAGATACATCTCCCTTGTGCATGCTCTTTCATTGAACTTCGTTTTCATTATTTTCAGTCTCTCCCACAGTCTCTGTTTTTTCTTCACTTTAGCCCAGAGCTTCCTGTTTATAGGTAATTTTTCATTCGTTCTTTTTCTGCTAACCCTCAGTCCTCTGATTATCTTCTTAGGGACACACTCGTCAATGACTGCCTGGAATTTTCCTTTGAACTTATTCCACTTACTTTCAATATCTGGTTCCAATGATAAGTATTGGATCCACTCCATCATAAGCCTTTGCTTCATCAGTAGGTAATCTGCTTTTTCATACATGTACACTTGTTTTTTACTTTTGTCTTCCATCTCTTGTATGTCACAATGGAAATAAATACAGGCATGGTCACTCTTTCCCAGTGGACTCTCCAGCTTGATATCTCCTACTATAGATTCTTCGTTACTGAACAACAGGTCAAGGGTATTGCCTGTGCTGTCTCCTCTTATCCTGGTGATTTCCTCTATATGTTGAGTGAGAAAGCAGTCTCGTACTTTCTCGATGAACATGGTACCAACATCATTCAGTCCCATTACAGAAGTATAATTACTCCAATTCATTTGTGGAAGATTAAAATCACCTACAATTATTTTATAAAGCACATTTTTATCATTGACTTCCTGCATAAGTTGGAGCAAATTAATATTATTGCTTTCATCACTATTAGGGCTTCTGTAAATGGAGGTAAATAGTAAATTACCACTACTACATGGCACTTCTATACAGCAATATTCACAAAGGGCTAAATTTTGGGTGCGCTCTGTCTTTGATTGTACACGTTTAGGTGGATGCTTTTAAATCCAATGTTTCACTGATATGCACACCAGTTGCTCGAATAATTTGTGACTCCCTTCTACGCGTCAACAGTTTGAATAAAGGTTATCAATAACCTACCTAACACGATGTGTCACTACAGCAGCCAGTATCACTAGGAATATGAAATAAGGCCCTTAAAACACCCATAAATGGGACAGGGTAGGCTGTCTAGTGCCTGTTCCGGCAGACAATAACTAACCCATGACAACCAAAACACACTATTAGCTTAGCTAGGCGGTCAGCCCGCCCTCTCTTACCTCCTCCTGAATTTCTTCAATTTCCGAACTATAACTTCTTTCCCCCACCTCTAATCTTCCTTCATTCCTCCTTTCCCTACAAAAAAATATATCACTAGGGTCAGCTCTGCTGTGAGCTCAGCGTTTCCTCACTTCCCGCCAAAATCCTCATCCGCTTAACGTCATAGCGATTCAATCAAATTCCCAAAACTGACCAAATAATACTTAATAAAACATTGCACTTAGATAAAAATGCAGGACATAATATCTTCACAATTTCAAAGTTGTCAGTGAGGTAACAAATTCAATCGATTTCATTAATTTGTTCATGCCTTTACAGTTTAAGTTACGTTAGGTTTATGCTATTTATTTACTTTACAACAAATAAATGACTCAACGGTCGTGTTTGTGTCTGAATATAATATTATAAAGTTAAACAACTTCATAGATAACAAGTCACCACCTTTTATGGTCTTTATTCATTATATCTCACCAGTAACTTCTATTTTCTTAATTACCGTTTCAGTTATAATATTTTGGTGTGTACGTTTAATTAATTGTGAAAATTGATATTTTCGGATTACCTGAAGATTAGCCCCAGCTCATATTCACCAACAACGACCTAGGGGTTTAGTAAAGCTAGGGTGTTTAGTCATCAATTCTATGACAACACATCAAAACTTCACTTTCCATTGTCATTGATATGAAACTATAATAAGCGCTCACACGATATTTATCCCTCGTCTATTTGGCAAGTCAGTAAGTTTCATCAGTTGTTTAACCAGCTGCCTTGGAGAACACCTTGACTCAGCCCCCATATCACTTAGGTTAGGTCAGGTTAGGGTAGGTTAAATAAGGTTAATTACTTATTTTCGCCATTTATCAACTTACTATCTGTTTGAACGCGTTATCCAGTGTTAGTACAGGAGGAAAACCTGTTATGTTTGGTAGGGTCACACAGGATAACACCCTTCTCATGCATGTCCGGGCCTTGACATTAGAGTTACGCCCGTTACCGCTGTACCACCAACACCCCTATAGCTATATGAGTATATGGCAACCCCCACTACTATTTTGTAGATGTTAACAATAGTTATTGTCTATATACCGTACATGCTGATTCAGTGAAAACATGTATGACGATTTACTTAATATCCTTCAATCTATTTAAAATCAAATAATCTATTTACCTCTCTACCAGAACCTCTGGCCTGCGTGGCAGTGAGAAGTGATAGCACCCAGTGTCAAGACCTGACCGAATTACTCAGAACAGGCAAACTGTACTCCAAGCTTTGTCAATAAATTTGTTAAGCGTAAAAGAAAAAAAAATCCCGGGTTCAAAGCGGCTTAATTTTAAGTTAAGTTGAACAAATAAATTATAGAGTAACTTATATAAACCCTTCAGTAAGGTTAGGATAATTTAAAATCGCATTAAAATTAAATTGTATCCTTGTTTTAGCCCACTTTTCTATCTTAATATTGCCTGACTTGTGGAGTAAATATTTATAGAGAAGGTCCCTAGTCGGCATGGCGGGGTTCGCATCGTGTATATCAAGGAACATTATAAGGATATTGAACTCCGTTAAATTTTCTTTAGGCCCCGACACTAGCGCCATCTATTGGATAAGCTAGAGTACTTGAAAAAATGGTAACATTTTAACGGTAACCTCAATATTTCACGCTACCGTTGGTAATCATTTTAATTATTTTTGTTTATATATAATTTTACTACTTATCAGCTTATTAGCCGTTCAGACAATATGTCTACTCTTTTTTTTGGTTTGTTACGACCTTTACTGTCCAGTGTTATTACAGGAGGAAACTGTACTGTACCTGGTGGAAGGAAACCTTTGATATTTGGTTGTTACCCTGGGTAACATCCTTCTCATGCGTGTCTAGCTCAAGTAAACTCGAACCCTTGGCGTGAAACTGAGAGATATGTATTACCAATGTGTTACCAACACCCTTCAAATTATTTAATTATTATTGTTACAGTACAACTCTTCACTATTGTCATCTTTTTTTATATGGCTCAATCCTTAAACAATAACAGTAATAAAATGGTGTATAATAATTATTTTATTTTATTTTTCCCAAAATCATTCAACAAAAAGGGATTAACAATAAAAAGAAGCTCTATTACTATGGATCAGGTGACCACTTGCAAGATACACTTGGCTTGCCTATTGTGAATCCAGATCAAAAAGTTGCATACACTCCAAGGTGTAAAAAGTGATAATGGTGAACAAAAATACACATCAAACAAAACAAAACAAATATGGACACTGGTGAAGCTCATAACAAAGTAACAAATAAGACCTGCCGCCCTAATGGCTAGTAAACTAAGTGGTGTAATGATAAATTAAACTAATTTAACCGCCACTGCTTATGAACCAACAACATGTATTAAGAACTTACCTTTTCCTGTCTTGGGATGAAATGAAACCTTGGCTATCTATTATTTCCTACAAACAACACAACGGCCGGCACCATTTGGAGCCATTGTAACACACAGCCGACACGCCAGCCAGTCACCGCCATCTCTGGGACAAACACCCACCTAATAGTGACTGAGTTATTCCTTATAATATTCCTTGGTTCATATCTCTCCTGGATGTCAGACACAAACTCAAACATGGCCGACGTGCAGGATGATGACCAATGGCTGTACGGCGATGAAAAGGATGATCCGAAGGAAGATGGAGAGATAAATGAGAAAGCAGGTGAAGAGACAGAGAGAGCAGGAAAGGTAAGGATTTCATCCAAGTCATTCTTATAAAGGTGTGAACAGAAGGAAGTTAATTAGGGGAGAACTGAAAGAAGAGATTTGAAAAGTGGGATGGATATTTTGCTATGACCGGCTATTTTACCGTGAGTGCGCTCTAATTGACTAAGTAATTTCTGTTTAATATGAAGGGAGGGCTTCCGGCCAGGAAGTTAGGTAGGTTTCTTTGGTTGGTTAGGTCAGGTTTATTCATTTCTAGCTAATGTCGCCCCTTTTATAATGATAAGAACATCTATGGAAGAAATTAACAAAATCGAACAACCCCTGGTTAGGTATGTTTATAGCTACACAACGATCGACTCGGGGCAAATTAATTATCAAATGCCGCCAGGGTCACGCTCAAATATAGTTCTCGCGTTCGCTGGTAATGGACAATTAGCCAATTAGTGCGCACTCACGGTAAAATAGCGTTAGTAGGAACTTAGCCGGTCATGGCAAAATATCCACTGCCTAAAATTAAAGAGACGAGTTCTAGTATTGCCAATTATATCGCTCCCTTGCCTGCATTACATGATTACAAACTCAAGATAACAGCATCTGATGGTGAGTATAGTATATACAGTGGTATATTTTGTTTACAATATACTGTACATGTAGTGTTTGCATAAATAAATATAGCTCTGTGTCTGCCTGATTGCAGAGTTAAACCTTCATAGCAGCGGTGCTCTGTGCGAGATGCAAAATTTAAACACAGAGACATTCACCAATGCCTGAAAAATTCCGTAGATGTGTGGTTATTACCGGGGATAAGGAAATTCGTGTCAGTACCTGGAAACGCTCTGCACTAACAGCTCTGGCTAATCTGGAGAATTTTGTACAGTATTTACTGTTAAACTTATTGGCTGTAGAAAAAAAAAAAAAAAAATTGGAGAGAAACATAGTTTAAAGGTGGTGCCCTGAGGATAAGACATGACCAAAATTCTCTAGCTTTAGGAATGATCGCATCAAAACTGGCTGCAGTGTTAAATCTGATTATGAGAGGAACAAACCACTGATAATTGCTATCTGAGCATAAATCACATCACTTGGGTTAAATATACAGTATTTTAGTAATACCGCACTTAATGATGCGAGCACATCTACCACCTATTTTCACTTAGTTTTTTATTGAGGACAACTTTCTTACCTGATGAAAACCACATATCAAGTGCAGAAATTGTTTTCTTATTGAAAATAATCGATGTCCATCCATCTTCATTTTTGTGCTTGATGTGTTGTCAATTCCAAACAAATGGTTACAGCAACTATATAAACACTTCCAGGGACTGCTACACAGTATTATTTACCCTAAATACAAAATAAATCATGTATCCTAGAAAAATTATGAAATGTAGGAGTTACTGGAAGCTTTTATATGACGACAATATATCAAGTGCAAAAATGTCATTGAAAGGACTTGGTGTATGTACTGTATATTATTTTTTTAGGAAAATCCCCAGAAAAGCAAGAATACCTGAACTAAAATTGCAATTCTTCATCTTGATTTTTTGTTTTCTTGAGATAAGGAAAGTTGTCTTCAATACAAAGCTACAGTAGTTGAAGATAGGTTATTTAGGTATGGGAGAGTTAGTATTACAGGTGTACTGGGTAGTTATTTTACTAAAGTTGGTGTAAAGGATCAAACACAGATTTTAGGAGGGAGTGTTCAACTGAAATCACATAAGTTTAGAAAAAAAATATGGTAAAGATTTCAGAAATTTATTATTTTTCAATGGCAACACATTCAGCTCACCTGAAGAAAAATGAAGAATGAAATTACTGTATAGTATTGATAACGACTTTTTACTAAAATATATTATAGTACAGTACTGTATTGAGAAAAAAATGACAACTGGCAAAAGGGCAGAAAGATATTAGAGATATAGCAGTAGCATGCTTGCCTCTCGCTACTGCATTATAGGTTCAGTCCCTGGGACATACATGGTAGATTTTCTCTTTGGTACTCCAGTTTCCTCCTGTACAGGAATACAGTAATACTGGGCCTTGAAGAATGGCCTTCACTTCCAAACATAGCATATCTTTGCCCAGGTACTCCAGTTTCCAGTGTACTAACATGAACAATGAAGGTCATTACAAAGAATAAAGCAATCATCCAAATGGCTAGTAAGCTGAAAAGTGGTGAAATAATAAACTAAGATGTGTAAATTGCAGTGCCTAGGAGATAGAGTTACAGTGTAGTCTATGAAGAGCTGTAGTAAGTGTTTACTGTCAGTATATTTTATTTTATTCATTTATTTATGTTAATTTTTTCTTTGCAGGAAAATGATCAAGACAAAGAAGCAGCTATGGAGGAGGGTGAAGGAGAAGGTGAAGCTGACAAGGAAACAGAAGATAAAGGAGATAAAGGTTTGTTCTTCATTTTGGGGTAATTAATTTGTACTTGTAGATAATATATATATATATATATATATATATATATATATATATATATATATATATATATATATATATATATATATATATATATATATATATATATATATATATATATATATATATATATATATATATATATATATATATATATATATATATATATATATATACTGTACAGCACATAGATAATCAGTAAAATTGTCATACTGTGGAGTCTCGATAATTGGCGAAATACTAATTCATAGGTACCTTTTTCTAAAGTTTTCTGAATAATATTGTTAAGTATTAAGTCATTAAACAACAATTTATCACGTCTAGTTACTGTACACTACTTTATAAAAATGGGATAATTATTTTAATTACAGTACTGTATACAGTATACTGTATATTCACATATTGGATGCATCTGTTTTTCAGACAAAGAAGGCGAGAAAGAGGATAGTGGGAAGGGTAATGATGATGATAGCAGTGATGATGATGACTTGACAATTACTATTGGTGTTATCAAGACACAGCCAGACATCATACAAGCCCCTACTGCTGCTCACTCTACTAGGTTCCAACCTAAGGTACATTTCTCTTGTGTAATGTAACATTATTGATCAACTAGTAACCTGTGAGTATTAATCTTTGTTTCAGTAGGAAGTGATCAATTGTAATGAAAATGAAAATGATTCACTTGCATGATAGCTAAGTGATTATGTATGACTTTACCTTTATTAAAAGTTTAAGACCATGATTCATGAAATGGAATTACCTTTAATATCTCCTATAATTTTTACAGGCTGCTCCCACCACAGGTTTAAAGGATGACGATTTTAATTCTCCAGGAAAAATCAATGGAGTTTCTATAACTGAATTCAACTTAGCAGATTTGGAGGATAAACCCTGGAGGTAATACTGTACCAATATTTTATGTAAAAAAAAATGGAATCTTTGCTTGATATCTTGAACAATTTTAGTAGATCATAACTTTGAATACAGTACTTATTGCCACAAATTGACCAGTATTATTGTCAGCTAAATCTGACCCCAAAAAAGTTTTGTGATTACTGTATTATTTATATGCTGTATATGGAACTGTACACAGATGTAATATATTTTATAGGGATTCCATAAAGAAATAGTAATAATATATCTTCAAAATTATTTTAAGTTTAATAAATTGAATAATGACTTGCCATTAACCAGAATGATCACCCAAAAAAATCCATTGTCCACCGAGGTGACTCACAATGGGAAAATTAATGTCTATCATGGATCCTCCCCTTAGTTCCACCATTATGTTCTCATTGCTCACAAACCCAGTTACTCTTTAGGAATCTTAACCAGAAATACTCGACACCTAAGACGATAACAACACCCTCAGTCTTCCTCCCCTGGTTGTGCCGTCAACTGTAGTTGCACAATTTCTTCGGCAATATTATTTTTGTGTTATAAGTGGACCATAGTATCATATGATGATATACTTTACGTATTTCTGTGGTTCCTGAACAGTACATCAATCATTCATCTCTTGTATATTCACTTTTCTGTTGATTCCTTAACCACTTGTGTACAGATACCCCACTGCTGAATAAAATTAGCTGGCATTAACCAAATAGAATATTAAAATTGGCGTTCTCATAGTGAAGGGGTTGAGAATGAGTTTCATATCCATACACAATCACTCCAGCATGCACATTATATACTTAATCTTATTTGGTTAAATCAACTTGGATAAAGTATATGTATCAGGTGCCTTCAAGAGTGCCCATGTACTCAATAGGCTTGACAGCATTATTATTGTTCACTTTGTGAACATAGAGTAGAACGTCAATTTAACACGAATCTGTTTAAAATTATTGATTTAAAGCGACACTCGCAATGAAGGACAACAAATCAATTTAAAGCGAATCTCCTAGTTTACGTGAATCAAATCTGGCGCATCATATGGAAATACACAATATTTTAAGTTTCACGCCTAATGTTTCCGGCCAGACACCTCTCTGGGCAGCTACAAGGCTGCCCGCCACCCTCCCGCAAACTCAATTCTCGCGCTGATGCTCTAGTGAACGGACATACTGTGTGACACTATCTCCTTCCACCAAGTGCATCAACCATCGCCACTATGTCCAAGAGGTCAGCCACTACATCTTTAACTGGCCCATCTACGTCTGGGCAGACACGGCCATCATTCAGTGCTTCCCGCGTGTCAGGTGCCACCACAGCCACACCACCAGACATTGATGTGGATGATGAGCTAGCCGAGTTGGGCTCTGCATCTTCAGAGGATAACTTGCCAAACTAAAAGTGGGTGAAAATCTATTTTTGATAGCATAAAGTAATGAAAAACTAAGTTGAGTGGAAAGTGACAGTGCAGGGGGAGGCCAGTGACGCGAGGCAGCAGACAATACAGTATCACGCAATAACAGTACCGTCCAGCTCTCAACTCGACTGCAGGAAGTGCTTGCTGCATATATATCATTACTTCATAGTTTCTCATAATTATTAGTTAATAAAAGTCTTTAGTATTTTGTGTTTTTCTCAAGTACCAAACTAAATTATTCCATTGAAACAACACTTCGATTTAGTGCGAATTCGATTTAAAGCGACCTCTCTTGGAACGTATCTTGCGTTATATCAACGTTCTACTATATATATATATATATATATATATATATATATATATATATATATATATATATATATATATATATATATATATATATATATATATATATATATATATATATATATATATATATATATATTAAATTTTTTCAGTTTCAGATAAGTCATTGTCTTATGTTCCAGGAGTTTCTATTGGTACTTTGCTCATTATCAAGTGTATAATGACGAAGCATGTAAAAAATTTGTGACGGACCCTCAGTGTGTCCCAAAATTAAAAAATGAGAAATATCTTACACTGTGTGGAAACCATCAGAAAACCTTGAACCATAAATTTTATCTTTTCAGAAAACCTGGAGCTGACATTTCAGATTATTTTAATTATGGATTTAATGAGGAGACATGGTTCAAGTACTGTGAGCGCCAGAAGAGGATGAGGATATCAGAGTCGGGGGCTGGTCTGGCTGGTCTAGGTATCAGTGTTACCAAGGTTAGCAAAGCAATGTTTTTAAGTTTTTTAATATGGGTATAATTCTCAGTTATGAATGTTGTATAGTATTGATGAAATTTTTTTTTTTTGTTAATGAATGACTTGAAGTTTCTGTTTTTCTACATGTTAGTGTTATTGATTGATATTTTAAAAATATTTTACCTACACTCTATTCACATGAGCTGTGCAACCAGGGCCTAGAGCAAATTTTATCAATGCAGCTGATTGACTGGCAGATTGAGGTGTGTTGGGTTAATATAAAAGTCTTCATTATTGAATTTCATGACTTTGTACAGTTTTCTGCAATTGCACATACAGTATAGGGCTCTGGCCCTGCCAAGTTATCCTAAATTCCAACTTATCGAGGCACTTACCTCCTCCAACAAAAATACAACAATAAAAAATTATTGACCCATGTACTGTATGTGTACATGTACAGTAATTACTAAATGTAAAAAAGTAACACTTACCAAAGAATGAAGCATCATAGTAGGTGACACAGATGCATGGTAGGTGATGCAGGTGGCCAAGATATGCCAAGATTTTCCCAGATAACTTTACATATCTTTGCATTTCCCGAGTTATACTAATACATTCCGAGATCATATCCATGCCGAGTTATCAAATGCAGAGTTATCGAGGGTTTACTGTAATAATAATAATTAAATGTTTATTTAGATTTGTAATCAAAGCCAGGGAAGTAAAAAATAGCATGTGAAACACATTGATAATGTGAATACTGTATCTTAAAGTTAAAAACAGTCAGCAGTGTTTGCTTGTTTCACCACCCCAACACATATTCACCTGGTGTGACTCAACCAATCACAAGATTCCTTTGATTTGGTCCAGTTGCAAGCTTGAAGTGAGAATAGTACAGTAAAGTGGTTCACATGTTACAATGTTGTAAATAATTCATAATACTCTACTGACAACAAACTAGACTAAGCAGCTGTGACACTGTTGATGTTTTTACTTTTCAGCCGTTTGGTAATGCTCCTAACAGCATCCCAGTAACAATAATCAATGATAACAGTAAATATGGAGGTGCTGGGTCACAGAGACCTAAGGCTGGTCCTCCGCCACGTAACAAAGGCATGGGACAGATAGATGTTATAGGTGGAACATCCAATCCAAAGACCAGCACAATCCAGGTAAGTTGATGCATCTTAAATGTTATGGCTATTGATTGAAGTACAGTATAAATGTTTATGTATTTACTATTTTTTTAATAATTTAAAACTTAATACAGTATGTTTATTCGCTAGTGAAAAAGAAACATACCCGATTATAACTTTATAATTTATGATGTTTAGGTTATGACAGCTGACAGGCGAGAATATTCTAACAAGGTGATGATGAACGGTCCTCCACCTCCGCTGCCTCCTGCCCAGCCAGGATACAATGATATGGAGTAAGGAACCTCACAGTACTGTTATTTATATGTAATTTTTTTCAGGTTAAGATATATACCCCCCCACCCCCATACACACACACACACACACACTCAAAAAGTTGTCTCATCTCTGCACCATCTAGTATTTAACTTATTCTTTATTAGTACTTTTCTCTTAACTTACATGGCAACTTCCAAAAAAAAAGAGGCCTTGTAAAACAAACCCGGTTTTGCTAAATAAATGGGCATTGCACTCCCAGGATCTGATATTTACACTCTTTATCTTACCTCAGGGCATTGCAACCCTGCCTTGCCAGCTGTTCCCACCCTGTGTGTTGGTGTTAGGAAGGGCATCCAGCTGTAAAACTTTGTCTCAACATGCCTGATGGCAACTGGATCGCCAGAGCTGTACCCATCTCCTGGTCTCTGCTGTATTTTCTGGGCTGGTGTCCCAGTTTTGTTTTGGTGGGGGAGGGGAGGGGAGGGGGGTGCCATCAGGTAATTGAGGTTAACCCCATGCAAGCATGGAAAATTGTAAAACGTTAATATTTTAATGATGATGAGTACACTTTACCTAAAATAAAACATGAATTGCCATTCATCACGAAAATATAATTATGAGAACTCACCAGTACAGTACAGTACTAATAAACATCACACAAGCATAATTAGGCCCAATTCTTGCAATTTTCAGTTTCTGGTTTTCTGTCCATACCCCAAACATCTTCGTCATATCTCTTAACAGTAGGAGTTCTTCACATTCAGGATTTTTCATCACACTTTCTACAATTGACTGGGTCAATACTTTTAAACCTTAAAGCATTTCATGACTTTACACTCATCACAAAAAAGTTCTTGAACAATTGGCCACGACAGATTTCAGAATGAGCACTATGGCTCATGTCATCTCAAAATGGTTGGTATGTCAGGCTGCGAAGTGACTCAATATTTCATAATAATGTACAGGATGTTCATCTTTATATTACTGTATTTACAGGTGGAAAAAAAGTACTAGTAATTTAATTTGCAATAAAACTTCCTTAGAGAGCAGTGTTCAGACTTCTCATTTGTTTTGTCACACAGGTATTGTATGACCCTTAGAGCATTCGAAACGTTTTGTAGTGAGTGTACATATGCTTGTTAACTTTATAGCAGCTGACTCCTCACATACAAATCAATTTATTTCTCACTTGTATGCTAGTACAACATTGTCTTGGGTTTCTTACTTTGAACACATCCCCAAGAAATATTGGCAGGACACTTGGGCTGTACCATCATGCAATTATAGTACAGTATGTAGAATACAATTGAAACTCTTCATGTGTGAATATACAGAGTTCTATCTCATCCATTTTAATTGTTATGCTCTTAAAGGCCTTAGATGTTGAGGTGCAGTAATGACATTATAACAACAACACAAGTGAATGTGGTAGTGAATGAGAGGCCACTTGATTCTGTTATGCTTTAAACACCAAGTAGATACTAAGAAGGGGCACCACACCATAATAATGTGGTATCGATGCTTCCCACATTGTTTGACTGGGCATACAATGTGAATATTTAGTGGGCTGAAGCATGAACCTTGACCATTCAGCTTGTGAACCGCCTCCCATCTCAAGTGAAATTTGGTGTTATAAAATCAAATAGGCAAGACTACTTCAAGTCCATACAGAGCCCTACATCTAACATTTTGACTTTGTATGCAAATCATACAAGCTCTCACCTGTTAAAGCTGTTTCATCTACTTGTTGATTGTAGCATTGGGTATACATGTTGTTTTGTTCGTAGTTTCTGCCAGAACTATGAGAGTAATTAATAATGCTGTTAGAAGTCTTCTTAGTTCACTTGAAGCTCTACCACACCAGTTTTATGGATGATGTCTTAAATTCCTTTCCATAGTGTCATAATTGGATTTTTTTTCTTAACTGTTCCCTTTCTTTCTTTCTTTTTATTCATCAGACCTGCATAGCTCCAAATTTATTAAGAATACACTTATAAACAAAAGGTTTCTCATGTGTATAACTTCCTAATTGTTTCTAGGTTTGGTGGTAACCCATATGGAGATGCATATTATCCAAGTGACCCTGCCTTCTATGGGGGAGCTTCATTTGAAAACCCTCCTCCATGGGGACCAGGACAAAACCCAATGGGAGGTCAGAATAATTGGGAAGGACCAGGAGGAGGTCCCCCAAATGTAACACCAGTGTCAAGTGGAACTGGTTACTTTGAAGAAGACTCGGTTAGTGCTCCTCCAGCACCAACAGAGCCTGAAGAAGAAAGACACAGGTGTGTGTACCTACTTGTGTGTGTGCCTGCCTGCCTGTTTGCATCTGTGTGTGTGTGAGTGTGTGCATTGAAACAGCAAAGTGAAAGAGGACAAGAATGGTTCTGTGTTTACTGTGCAGGACACTGCATACAGTACAGTATAGAAATTACCTAAGCCAATCCATAATTGAATAAATTTTTGCCCTGTTGTACTGTACTGTGAGTTGAATGGGGTTGATACATGTAGTTTCATGTCTGTTGGTACAAGGTAATGTAAAATTGCACTAACTGAAAGTAATAATGAATATAAGTGGTGATGGTTGTTTCAGATCTCGAAGAAGTCACAGATCTCGAAGTCGGTCTCCAACTCGTCATAGACACTCCAGTAGACATCCAAGATCACGGTCCCGGTCCCCGTCTCACAGACACAAGCGTAAGAAGTCTAAGAGAGAACGTGATGCAGATTAAGATATTCGTTTTTCCAGTACAAAATCCCATTTGTGAAATTTTTTTGTTTTTTAAGAACAACTTTCTCTTCATATTAATTGTTTATTTGTAAGATCCAGTTGATGGATAAACCAAATAAAAAATACAGTACATAAGTAAAATTACAAATTAAAATGTCTCTTAACTGTAGTAGTTTAAATTATTCCACTGGTGTAACATATCTTGAAAATACAATAGACTGAAATTTGACAAAATGGACCTGTATCTACTTTTATCTGGTTTAATCTAAATAGGAAACTAAAAACTTGAAGGCTTAGGGACATAATCAACACCATCTGTAGCTAAAACACATTGTTGAAACATTACTGTATTTTGTGAATTACCTAACATTCATTTGAGGAAACCTGACAAAACTAATGTATTACTTTACATATTTTTAATAAGGAATACCCAGGTTTATTTAACAAGGATATACTGTGGGTGTAATATTCAACATACAGTACTTTGAATGCTAATTTTTTTTTTTTACTTTCATTACTGATTCTTTGCCATTTTATATCTATATTTCAGTTTTATTTCTGATGTCCTCTCTACAGTTAGTCCACATCTATTGCACTCACGTGAACTCGGTCTATAGCCATAATTTTTGTAGTATGTACAGTATTTTTGGGTACTCTTAACAGATTGTTTAACAATGTTTTTCCCTTTGTACATTCTGCTAAGGTAATGTTTTCACAATTAATTTTTTTTTGAACTGAGAGTTTACATTAATTATGGATAAAATATTAAGGAACAATTATAGTTTTTATTTGGATGATTTACAATGGACACCACTACATACACTTCTGCAATATATAAATTCTGTCAGTAATAAATATGAAGTTATCAAAATTACAAATGATGCCCTGATGTATTATTGTTACAGGAACTCCTCCACTTGTACTGAACAGTATACAGTTAACCCTCACTTTACGCGGTTAATGTAACCCGGAGGGTACCGCGGAAAGCGAGAAACGCGTAAAGTGAATAACAACATATGGGATTAATTGAAATGGAGTCCAGGCCGATCCCCAAACTCCACTTTTTGACGACACATAACTATGTTGTAGTAAAAATAACATCTTAATTTTATGATGCTACATGCACACAATTAATACTTAAGAGAAATAGAGAAATACAGTCGCCAAGTTAATGTCCATTCAAATAATGGACACGACTCCCTCCCCCCTCTTCTCACACTACACTGCTGGCTCTTCCCTCTGAGAAATTTTGGGGGGAAAACCAGGTATAGTAATAAATAATACCTCAAACTAAAGTTAGGATAATATAATTGACATTGCTGGATTCCTTGTAAGACCAGGAATATTTTGAATATAAATGTCATATATTTTTCACAAAAGATAACATATTTACTCAGATTAAACATTTTATCTAAAATTTGTATGTCTAATGCAAAATATATGATGTTTATATTCAAAATGATCATCAAATTGTAAGAATTCCAGCAATGTAAATTATATTCTGGCCGGGTAATTTGTATGAATTTTATGAGCTAAAACAAATATCTTCAGTTAATAAAAAAAAAAAAATATTCTTCACGACACTATCTGTCAATCAAAGTACCCCACCTTGCCTCCCCCCCTCTTCCAACCGCGCGGTCAGTCCCAACCCTCCCCCCCACCCCCCACCAATCCTCCCTTCAAGAGATGTTGGGTGAAAAATTTAGATTTTAACATTTTGTATTAAATAATACCTCAGATTAAAGTTAGGATAATATAATTGACATTGCTGGATTCCTTGTAAGACCAGGAATATTTTGAATATAAACGTCATATATTTTGCACAAAAGATAACATACTTACTCAGATTAAACATTTTATCTAAAAATTTTATGTCTAATGCAAAATATATGATGTTTATATTCAAAATGACCATCAAATTGTAAGAATTCCAGCAATGTAAATTATATTCTGGCCGGGTAATTTGTATGAATTTTATGAGCTAAAATAAAAATCTTCAGTTAATAAAAAAAAAATTATTCTTCACACGGTAACAGATGGTCGGTCGCCGGTCCCTCCCTCCCTCCCCCCACCCACGTCCCTACTAGATAAATGTGTGGGAATACCAGACTGTTTACCTTTTTAGTAATAAATAATAAATCAGACTAAAGTTAGGATAATATAATTGACATTGCTGGATTCCTTGTAAGACCAGGAATATTTTGAATATAAATATCATATATTTTGCACAAAAGATAACATATTTACTCAAGAGTAAACATTATATCTAAAATTTGTATGTCTAATGCAAAATCTATGATGTTTATATTCAAAATGATCATCAAATTGTAAGAATTCCAGCAATGAAAATTATATTCTGGCCGGATAATTTGTATGAATTTTATGAGCTAAATTAAAAAAAATTATACTTCACCCGTGTAAAGGGGTACACCCACCGCGGAATGTGAGCATCCTGGGTTCTGGCAGGGCACCGCGTAAACGTGGAAACGCGGAATGTGGGACCGCGTAAAGTGAGGGTTGACTGTATCTAGATGATGGTGCCTTTTCGTCACGTCTTAGTCACAAATATTTATTTATGGAGAAATGCTCGCTAGTATTAAGGGAACTTCTACATATCACGAGGTCATTTCTATTCTAAATGTGGTACCAGAATACCCTGAAAGTGGTAGCAAAAAAACATACCTTTACCTTGGCCGTATCTTAATTACTATTGTCATAATCCTTCGTCAACTTCACATTTCACTCGGTGTTCTACTGTAGTATACCCCTCACGTCTGTGGTACATTTTTCATTTATTCTGCACCTGTGGCTTCATAAAGAAAAGCAAGTGGTGCTAGTAGTGTTGCTAAAGTGGAGAAAAGGAAAAAGAAAGTGGTGATTAGTACAGAAGGTTGTATCGTTAGATAAACTCGCCAGTGGAATGAAAACTGCGGCCATGGTTAAGTGTTTGGCATGAATGAGTTCTATTAGCTCCCACAAGGAGGAGGAAAAAGAGGTAGGGGTAGTATAGCTTCAAGTGCCCTCAGAAAAAAAATCATGTGATTTATGACAAAGTCATGATAAAAATGGAAAAAGCATGAAAATTGTGGATGGAGGACATGCACCAAAAATATGTGCCACTTGATCAAAATCTTATCCACTAAAAGGCTGTGGACCTTTGCAACCATTTTTATCAAACAACAGTTGCTGAGAGTCCTAGTGAGAGCAGTCACCATACCTTGACTACCAGCAAGGGTTGGTTTGAAAATTCAAAAGGAAATACATGTTGTATAATGTGACATTGACTGGTGAGGCAGTATTAGTGGACTGTGATACTGTACAATACTATATAACTCGGGCTTATTCCCCAGACTTTCTCAAGATCATGAAGGAGATAGATTATAAGCGTGAGCAAGTTTTTAATGTTGTCAAGATTGCCTTATGGTTCAAGAGGATGGCTAGGTGTATCTCACTAGAAAAAGCATCTGCAAATGATTTTGATAACCTTACCAAGACAATAGAAGTTGAAGTGTTCATTTTGGCATCCATTCGGACCATAACTTTTAGATACTTTCTGTAGCAGGTGTACGTATCTTTGAGGAAAGAAGCATCCAACTTTTAAGACAGCAAAGGATCAAGTGACCCTTCTCTGTGGCAGTTCTGTAGGCTATATAGTAAAAAACGTGTTGCTGTACTGAGCAGTGAACTCTCAGGCATTTAAATATAAACAGCTCTTACCCATTTAATATTAGTCCAAAAAGAAGACCTGGGTCACTACAAATCTGTCTTTGGTTTGGTTCTATAACAACTTCCTCCATGAAGTGGAGAAGTGCCTTCAGGAGAAGGATTTGGAATTCAAGGTCTTCCTCATTTTCGACAATACACCAAGCCACCCAAAGTGAAATCTGCACATCCAAATGTTGAGGTGATGTACCTTGCAATCAACATCACTTTCCTCATTCAGCCTCTCAACCAACAAATGATAGCAATGTTTATGGCACACTACATATGCCAAACCTCTAGTCACACTGTATTTGTTATGCAATGGATGTTGACCTGAATATTATTAATGCATAAAATGTATTTGAAGAGCATAGAAGAATACGTATGTACAGAGGGTTGTAATCGAGATCTGGGAAATATGGCAAACTATCTGATTGCTAATATTGAACAATCAAATCTGACATCAACCAATTACATTTTTGGCCCCCAGGCTTCGATGTGGGTCAGTGACCTGTGCCCAGGTGGCCTAATCCCCGTAAAAAGAAAAAGAAAAAAAGGGATCCCTCCTCCCCATAATGATTCCTCTTAACATCTTTAAAGAGAACAAAGAAGAGCACCTATTTCCCCCAAAGTGTCACTCATATTTTTCTGTAATCTAATCTCAGCACACTAAGTATTGTTTTTCTAATTCTGGGTCTGATCCCATGTACACCATGAAAGCAAGACCATCAGAAAATAAACTGGATTACTTTTTTCTTTTTTACGGGGATTATCCCACCCAGGCACAAATCACTCTGGGCCTGGGGGACGAAAATGTAATGCAGGTAATAATAAAGAAATAGAAAAAATGAAAAAAGATCAAAAGTGAGAAACAATATATACTGTATGTACAGTATGTTGTGTTGTCAATAGTAAGAGAAACAATTGAGACCCTGCAATTGTGTGTAAATGAGGCAGAAAGTCAGATCAGCAACCTGGGACTTGGTCAGAATTTTGCAATGCCATGTGGCAGTAGGGTCTACCATTAGACAATATATTATGCTTCCAATATCTTCCCAGGCGGTAGTACCTCCCTGTTACTGTGAAATTGGATTATAACTTGACCGTGGGTTATTAAGGCTCCCATTCTGCTCATTACCTGTACTCTAATTGGACTGTTAACAAATCTGAATAACACTTGACACAACAAATATTCTTCCAATAAACATTAACACTAGTACCTTGGGTAATACATCTTATTTGTGCTTGAAGAAACAGAAGGGAGGCAGTTATCTACAGTAACCAGGAGAACCACCTGTTCAGTGCAAGGTGTGGCCAAAAATCGATGGGATGGAAGGCTGGAAGACTTTTATGGCCAATCAGGAGAACAGATATGTGCAACAATAACTTCTTTGACATTGGTGCACACTTGACCTCTCCTCACAATCTTGTATGCAGGAAAAGCATCGACTTTCTAATACTGT